TCCAGGACTTGGAGGGTTAAGGCAGGACTCTGAAAAGTTAAAAGAAAAACAAGGACACACATGGAACAAGGACACAGATGTGCCCCGCCCCTCCCCCAATGTTATTAACACTCTAAATTGTTCTGCAAAGAAGAACTGTTTTCTCTCTCGTTCAGGATCAGGACAAGGAGCGCTGCGATTGGTTTGAGGGCATTCTGCACTTCCGCTTCCCAACGTGGAACGCTTTCGAGACGAGAACAAAGGTCCGTGCTGCAATCAGGGCTATCAACAAGAACGCGACAATGGCTCGCTGAGGACCGAGCCGCGGTTGCGGTCTTGCCGCGCCCTTGTACGTGCTGCGCACTTTCATCGTCATGTCTTAAGCAGTGTTCAGGCTTTGCGATGACCTTCCTCTACGCGCTACAATTGCAACAGTGCTCTAGAGGGATAGACGCGAACGCAGCTGCAGACGGCGCCGATCAATTTCCGCCTGCGAATGCAGTTACAGCGCGTCTACGCGCGTCATCGCGAAGTCTGAACGCTGCGTTAATAATTGACGGTAACCGTATAATAAGCCTATATTCTATACTTACATAATAAGTAATGTCAGGACTAATAATACTCATATAAAATCAGGCGTTAGAGATGTGACGGTAGTTCTTACTGTAGTTCTGAAAGCGGGTACCATAGTGGGAGTTTGCCGACCCGTTTGATCTGCACTCAACTCTGGGTTCTGAAGACTTCTCTAGGAACTTCAGGTCAATACTATGATATTGTGCGTTTAAACAGTCCATTATTGATTGTTTTCAATCGATTGCTCCTTTCAGATATGCTTTAGATTCCTAATACATTATGGTCTTTCTATTTGTGTGTTGTTTTTTTGAAACCATCGAGGTTGTGAACGATTTATTGATTTTGGCTCTTTTTTCCTGACCTAATGTTGAAGCGCTCAGCTGGGCACTGCATGGTTTCAGGTCAGTTGGTTGTAAGAAGTAATTGTAATGTGTGGAAGATGAATAGCTAAGATAATAATCTGCGTATGAGCGAATAGTCGAGCAGTTCCAAAAAGGTTCTAACGGATTAGACTCCATGACGTCGTCCTGTATGGTGAAGTTTTCGAGGCAGGCACGTGACGCGGGCGGTCGCGGCGCGCCGCGGTGGGTGGATCAAGTGGGGCACCAGTGACCTATTGATCGACATAACGCGATGCAGCAGCACTGCGGATGGCTGTGCCACGTTGTGCTCAAGATTGGCAGTATTATACCTTTCTAAAACCGCCGTTTATTGATCGATTATTCGTTCAAATATCGGCTTGTAAATAAGCTAAACTTCAAATTTTTCTCCCGATCATCAATGTTATCACTGTTATCGTTTTGATATAGCTCCTCCTTTTTTACCGAGTGTATAAACAGACGAGTGTCTAAGATTGTTTGTCATCGATTTTTGTTTTATTTGATTGATTGGTTATTTGGCTATCGCGTATGTTTGCTATGGGTTAATTATTTTGTCCAACTCGATTGTTAATTTTTGATGCAAGCCATTTTTTTTGATAGCGCTTAGCACTTCATGCTGTAGTGTCCATCCACGTTGTAGTGTTAATTGTTTGTAAATGTAATAAAAATCGCCTCCACGGGGTTTGTTCCAGTGTTGTAGGTGTTGTGTAGTGACCAGACGCCATCGTTGTGATGATCACAATAGGGGGGTCGTATTTGACCGCGAGGGAGGGAGGGGTCGTATTTGGTCGTTGTTGGGAGAGGGACTGCCAAAGATCTAAACTACTATTTCCGATAGTTGAAAATTGAGAATGATAGTTGAATCCTGACGATCTCCACACTTGCCCCCCCCCCTCTCACCGGCCAAAAATCGACAGCAAAATTTTGCAGATAAAAACAGGTTAATTGTAGGAAGAAAAGTAGATTAAGAGGAAAAGGTGGAAAAATCTAAGGGAATTTAGTAAGTCAAGTACAAATGGTAAATACGAAGAGAAGGTCGTATTAACGGCATGATGGATAAAGGGATGGGGTGAGGGGTTATGCTTACCAAGTTTCTGTTCGAGCGATAAAACCTGGACCTACGGGGCAATACTACCTTTCTCTCCAGTAAGGGGGTGCGGTAAGGGGGGGGGGGACTGTCGCAGAAAGCGACCACACCCCCCCACCCCTACTGGAATTCCCAAAACGATCTTCAGCGTCCGTCAAACAAGAAAAATCTACGGTAAAGTATCCTCTAAAGCAAATGCGTGTAAGCTACATTGCATTCAATAAACCACTACGATTCTGACGAGAAGTGGATTGTGTGGCGCATCCCAAAAAGGATTGATTAACTTCGAAGGATTCTTCCTTTTCAAATTTTATGAAAAAGAGAGAAAGAAAATAACAGGATAGCGGCACACTAATGTTCAAAATCTGCATAACGAACAATGATAATCATATGTAGAAATGAGCTAACAACAGCATAACTTGAAGAGTTGATAAGTCTTAGGAGTAGGTTAAGCCGAAAGGAATTCTGTAAAAGTTTAGTCTATATCTATTTTTGATATCTGAGCCAAAGAACGTATTACTTATTGGACCTGATTGGGAATAATTCAAGGTTCAAGGAATTAAGTGACAGCTGTCAGGAAAAAAGGTACTAAAAGTGGAATCACAAGCGAGATGCCAGCTGATAGCTTCGGATGCGGTTCACTGTGTGCGAATCCATGCCAATGAGCAGATGACATTACAGTTGGTTGGCATCTGTCATGGTCCTAAATGATACGCGAGTTGGTTTCAGTAGTTCCTTAAGGGTGGGCACGATGGTTACTGGGGACGAGCGGGCAAGTCCAAGTGGGGTGGGGTTAGACGTCTTCTCGCAGCCCTCCATCAATAACGTTG